TGAGACAACTGATCGAAGGGTGAGGAGGAGGCACCGTGCATGGGGCTCACAAATGTGAACGATGCGGCGTTAAAAGTTCACCGGATGATCCTCCCTTTGCAGCCACGACATGCCCAAAATCATGTGGAACTTAGTGTCCAGAATATCGGAGGACACGACCTCGCTTGCATGCGGGGCAAAGTACACCGAGACGGAATCAATGCACTGGTCGATTGACTTGTGTGTGTGACCGTCGGCCAACGTGACTTGCGTGGGCTGTGACTTCCTTCGAACGCATGGCCCCTGGTCAGCGCGTACTAGAAAATCTTGGCTCATATAGTTGCGAGTAGCTCCACAATCGATCAAAGCGTTGCAGGTCGCTTCTCCAATCTAAATGTGTATGTACAACAATGGTGCGTCGTTGGTGTTGTACCGTTGTGTCTTGAACTTGCGGTCGATCTTCGCAACGTAGTCGTGAAGGTCAACAACCTCAACTCTAGCATCCATTAAGGGAGTTGGGACTGCAGTGTGCAAGTAATCCTGTAATTGTGCCATGAGCACGTTGCAAGGCAGTTTCAGCAATCGACTGGTCGGGGGAAGGGGCATCCATTGGAAAGCCGCGAATGGCAACGGGTCGAGTTTCTCAAGTCTTGACCATGACGTCAAATCCTCGGCTAAAGTTGGCGGGGAAGCTGCCGAATCGGTTGTCGATGGTGGTGAAACCGTGCTTGCAGTGGATTGTTGCACGTGGAGTGGCTGGTCCAAAGGTGGGACCAAGTGGACAGCGTAATCCTTGTAAGTGAACCGAGGACTCGCGACATCCGCATTCTCCCAAGATGTGTAGGAGGCCGCTAGCAAGGCGGCTGAATCTGGCGGAGTGAGAGGTGGAGTCRCCTCACCTCCCGTGCAGCTCAATTTCCCGCTCTGATTCGAGGTCGAACATCCTCCTTGCCTTGATCATGGCATTGTGAGGTCTTGTGCTTGGTGTTGTTGCACCAATAGCAGCAGCTGTATCGGTTGCGATACTTGTATTCGGCCTCGGTCAAGTTGAACTTAACCCATGGTACTGGCTGTCCATTTTCGGCCGGCGATGCGGTTTTGGCCTTCCCTTTTCCACGGGAGTTGTTGTTGCTTCGCGGCTGGACAACGCCCACGTGATCTCCCTCACGTGATGCCGGGGTGGCTGCCAGGTCTTCCACGATGTTGTCCGGTTGGATTGCAGCGACGGGCTCCACATGGGTTGACTGACACGCTGACTTCTCGTGAGCAGCAGCCCAGCTTGTCTTGATGATCTCACGCGCCTTGTTAATGATTTCGGCGAAGGTCGTGTAATGTTCTCGATCACCTAGTGCGAGGCTCAAGGCGGCACACGACCGGTTGTAGAACTCCCGACACAGATGCGAAAATGGTTGCTCGAGATCGGGTGTTGCCACAATCTTTTGCCATTCCGTGAGCCAATCGCGTGTCGGTGTGTTGCCTTGAGTCATGGCGAAGAGGCGGTTGATGGCGAGCGTCGGGGCATTGTCCACAATGAACCGCTTCTTCCATTCCTTCGTCATATCGTCCTAAGAGATCTTCTTGTGCAGGTCGGGGACCTGGACGCCGTGGATGGTTGCCATGTGGCTGAGCTAGACCTGGCATCTGCCCTTGGCGTTGAGGAACAGCGTTGAGATGTACAAGTGATTGGGGACCTCATGAATCCCAATCTCCGTTGTAAAGACTTGCCACCAGACGACTGGGTCCTGATGCGTATAGTCATTTAACTTCTCGATCCGGAATGTCGGCATCTTGTACGGCCGCGATGCACTGGTGCTGCCATCGTTGTCGGGCGGCTGGTGTAGTTGCCAAACCTCGGTCTTCAAGGTATCGAGCTGCTTGCTGATGGTGGCCGGGGCAGCAAAGGTGCTAATGTCACCGAGCATGGCAACGACATTGTCAACTCATTGCTCCAACTGGCGGGTTGAGGCTGCATTGCTGGGTTTGCCAACATCTGGTCATGGTGCTGCTTGCTCCTAGTCCTGTACACGGGAATGAAGTGCCCTAAACCAACCGGGTCACGAGTTTGGCGAGAAACTCCTTGTGCTGCTCTTCCGGCGTCGCGTCGTCGTGGACCTCGGATGGTTCAAAATGCCAGAACTTGAGCCTGTCGACTCTGGCGGCTTCGTGCCGCTGCAGCAGATCCTGGGCCTCCTTGCGGCAGGCCTGGGCATCTGCATCAGCTGCGGCCTGAAGTTGCTGCTTTTCAGCTGCGGCCTGAAGTTGCTGCTTTTCAGCTGCGGCCTGAAGTTGCTGCTTTTCAGCTGCTGCTTCCGCTTCAGCCTGTAGGCGGGCAGCCTCGGCTGCTGCCTGGTGCTGTTCCTCAGCCTCGATCAGTGCGAGCTGAGCTTGGACCCGCTGTCGGTACGCGGCAATGGACTTGTTGGCCAGTTGGCCTGGCATGCCCAAAACTGAAACCGTCATGGTGGCGGGGCACTGCGGACGTGGCACTGTTGCTGATGTCGCACTGCTGACGTGGCACTGTTGCTGACGTGGCACTGCTGACATGGCACTTACCAAACCGGGAATGCAGGCAAAGGGCTGGGTGGGAGGGAAACGCAGGAAGGTAACCAAACTGCACTTTCCATTCCCGGTCCTAATCAACAGAGTAAAACAAAAAATGAAAAAATAGAAGGAAGAGGATTCCCCCCCCCCTTCTTTTTT